TTTTTCCAGCTGTCTTCTTTAAAAAGAGATTAGGAATCGTACGTTTTTTCACAGCACTGTGTCTTGATTTACGTGAATGCGGAAAAACCTCCGGTTTGTTGCACTATAGTTGAACCTCATCTTGTAAGATACAGGTTCGAGAGTTATTGAAAAAACCGTAGCTTACTTCCACGAAATCACTATGTTATCTATGATGCAAGGGGACTTACCAGTTCATGAGCTCATCGGTCAACACCATCCAGTAACACGAAGCTAAAAACCGAGGAACTGGTGGTGATGGACCCAACCGCTTTTACAATCTCGGTATGGCGCAGTGAGCGGAACGCACCAGCTCTGCAAGCTGTTCTCTGCATCAACTGCGCGTCTTTACCAAGAAAATGTACGGATCGACCTGGACTACGCTATATCCGATATCAAAGCGTAAAACGCCGGAGGAGTTTTTCATAGCGAAGGACGCAATCTGGTGGAACCCGTGATTGAATTTAAAGAATTGTAGAAGCGGTGACAAATAGGACATTGATCAAGCACTTTGGTCGTCCCAGCGTATGACAATCATCAATGCCAAGTTGAATGAATAAATGGATTTCACGCAAGTTCTCATGAAGGGAGTAAAAAATCATTCCACGCAACACCACGTGGGGTATATAAACTCAACGGTGAAATCGCTGTATGAAGTTGGCACTGAAAGACAAGCGAGTGTAATAGGGGAAGCTGGAGCGATAAATCACATTCATCGCAGGAGATTGCATTTGATTGGAGCAAAACGCACAACTATCAGCGGCGCTACAACTGTTGAGCGGGTTGATACCACCTGCACACTTCAGACGAGCAACCAGTTGTTTGACCAATGCTCTATTTCATTTAAATTTTGACCCACAGCCTTCTGTAGAATAGTTTCTACGGCGAAATCGAAGGTAGGGAACAGAAGTATGGCTTGATCAACCTATTCTTGGCATCATTTGCCATACTTCTGTGACACTCATCCTTCGGCAATTAATACCTCCCAAATAGCTATTGATCGACCTTTGATTTAATTTGCGGATTAGGACGGACTCAGAAATCAGGAGGCTGGGAGTGACATTCCTTAGGTTAGTGCACTGTTGCTGACAGTTGTCCGTTCGGATTTTATGGGTTAGAATGCAGTGCGGACTAAGAAGGCAGAAGATATGATACACACAAATCATTAGACATTTGGGTATTCAAGTATCAACCCATGAAACAATCTGCAGCGCAATGATTGACACAACAGACAGTTTTTAATTGGTGAGCATTTGGTTCCGATAGGAACTAGCTGCAAGGGGATATCTACTCGAATCAACTAATACAATATCACTTAGTTCGACGGAGACTCTAATTCGAAGCAAACCTTCAGCTAGAAGGATCAGTAGTTAGAACTTTGTTGCTCTGATCGACAAACTACCATACATGATCGGATCTCGGGGTCCAAAAACACCTGGGTAATAAAAGTAAAGGCTCCACGGTGGGAGCTAGGGCTACCAAACAGCCTGATGAAATCTGAAGCTGATTGTTATTTCATTGAAGCGATTTGTTTAGTGGTGATATCTCTGTTCACAATTTGAAGTCCCGTGGAAAAAAGTATAAAGATGAGGCACGCAAGCAAATGTTTATCTGCATTCATCGAGTAAGGATACCGGCGAGAAATCACAACTCTCGGAAACCGCGAGTGAAGTCTACAAAACTAATACAAAAATCACTAGAATAACGAGACGGATGTTCACGGAATAAGTTAACAAAACCGTAAGTTTTGTTCATGACCTGTAGCATAAAACAGCAGCACTGCGCTTCAAAACCATTGAAGCCAGTTTCTGTGCTTGGAAAGGAAACAGATCCATTCAAGATGAATATCGAAAGAGACAGACGGATTGCTCGCTGTAAGTAATGAAATTCACTCTATTCCCCACACTCGATTAACCCCGTTTTACTCAGATTCTGTTACCTGTAACGCTAGTCGTGTTGTGACGCCGACTACTCATGAGTAGTTAGGTGTTATTTCGCAAGACTGATGCACGTGTCTAATTGATCGTTGGGAGTTTCCGGTGATACGTACGCTGACGTTTCTATTTAATTCAATGGCGAACATTGTGAGACACATAGAGGCATACAATGTTTCATTCACTGTGCTGTTCAGAGGCCTGGTGATATAATAGCAATGATGACCGATAGCTACCAAGCAGAACCGGCCGCGGAGAATCGGATTCAAGAACTAATTACCGGAGATCTATTCGATCTGGCACAAATGACTTGTGAATCACAATATAAAAAATATTTTAAAATAACATTCATGAAAACACACGTGAGACTCTAAGGCTAAACATAAAGGGAACTTCAACAACCTGGAAGTTACTCAAACGAGTTGGCGTGAAAAAGTGACAAATATCAAACAAGCACCGCTGAAAACCACAGTATTGATTGCACACGACGGCAGAGATTCAGAAAAATCGGTGACTCGACTCCGTCAAACCGGCTTCAATGCAGTGAGCTTAAATAAATAACTTGCTGTAACATGTTAACGCTGGATAGTTGGTCATATGTGAGGGAATCTTGTTTATCGGGGACGAATATGTGAATTGTCATTAGCCAAGTTCTATGATCACCGTACAAGTGGTATCTAAAATGAGCCATGTGGAAACCTTTATAAACAAAAAACAGCTCCTGTGTTTTGGTCATAGAACTGCATCAGGAAATCAGATACTCATATCTCTTCTGCAGTGATTGGAAGCCTAAGAGCACCGTATGAATTAGAAATTACCCGACCGTAAAGTAGTGACAGAATCACAAACACTTTCACACGTATGTATATACGTTATTTTCGAATGACGCAATCCACAAGAACGTGTCGAGATCATAGTGGAAGTGGAATTTTCGCTACAAATGAATACTTGTAGCGAGCACAACTGAATCCAAGAGGCGAGCACACATCCAAGGGAAAATTTATCAAGGGGCGTAGTCGAGAGGGAAAATGAAGTGAGGGGTTCAGTTGATCAACGACCATAGAGTAGATGAGGCAAAACCTCGTAACCAACAATTTCATCTCGTTTCTCCCTCTTAAAGTTCTCATTCATGCGCGCATCAACGGACACAAAAGAATGAGGTATATAGAGGCGAATAGGTGATAGACCGAAGCGCGCCGAGGCCAGAGATAAATGAATGAGTGATGTGCAAAGGGTGTGTTGACATATGGATCTGTTTTCGCAATGCACCGAATTCGGACAGATAAATCTGAATGCAGCACAGTCGTATGTTGCTCCATCAAAGACCGGAGGTTGTGAGTGACGGAAGAATTGAGATTTGGGCCCAAATAGATGACCCGTTCGTAAGGAGGTAGTGTGTATGCGAGACGAAACCATACAAAAAAGCGGCCATTACACATACTCACATGTTGTGAATCATTGAAATGAAACTGCTGCAAAGTTGTAAACAACGAGCCAACAAATTGTTCTACAAGGGAACGCAT